GGAGTAGAGTGCGGGACCGGATTCAATGGAATTGTAATAGATAAGCATGATATCGGGGGGTGGGAGGGCAATAGATGGGGGGAGGGGGGTTGTTACCTGGTGAGGGTGAAAACGGTAACTATTGCATTGTTCTGTACACCTGAAACTAACAATAAAAAAAAAAGAAAATTAGAAAGAACAATAGATAATCCAAAAAAAAAACCACACAAAAAAAACAAAGTCTATTAATTTTTTAACAGCCAAGGAGACAGCCCAGGGCAGATGGGGTAGCTCCACATCATCAGGACCCCAGGCTTTTTGTGTTGCTGCTCTGCCGTCCTCAATAGCCAACTTCCATTCGGTGGTCTGGGATGGCTCCTCCCGGCCCACCACTGCATTCGTGTTCTGGCTGGTGAGAAAATGGAGTGGGACAGGAAAAGGCATGCTCCGTTTCTTTAAGGGCACAGCCCAGGGCTTACCCCTCCACTCACATTCCACTGACCCCACCTAGGTGCAAAAGGAGGATGGGAACTGTATCTTCAGCTATTGTTATGTAAGAACAAGAAGACTTATATTGGGGACAACAAGCAGACACTGCTACAGGTGGAGATTAAGCAGGGATGAGTGTAGACAAGTCTTGAGGGGGTTTGCTGTAAGTAGGAGCAGAGAAATGGGGTAAGAACTGGAAGGGTGTGGTTAGGAGTGGGTGTTTTTACTGATGGAAGTTCTTCCAGCACGTTTGTCTGACCAACAGAGACAGAAAAATAAGTACAGAAGAAAAGACACAGAACAATTCTCGAGTGGGTCACAGGGATGGGACCCGGTGCCTGGGTGGAAGGGCTGACCTCAACGGACTGCAGCTCACCCATGGGGGCCAGGGAAGGGCAGAGGGCTCTGGGAGGGGCTGGGGAGATGGATTTGACGGTGGAGAAAGAAATTGTCTTCTGGTGCTTTCTACTCACTCATTTCAAGTGAAACTAAAGCTTGGACTGACTGCAGAGACCAGGGGTCTGGGAAAGGTATGGGCCCTCACCTGGGGGAGCAAGGAGAGAAATGACTTGGAAGTTCCCCAGGTAGGCTGGCTGTCCCTGTGGGTCCACTTGAGAGATTTGTGTGGTCCTTCACTTAAAGTTCGTTATACTGGTTTTGAAGGCTGGCACCCAGGGAGGTCTACTCTGGAGTGCGCTGAAGCTGGGAGCCAGGTGGGCATTCACAGGTTGATTAAGAGGCTCCTGGGCCCTGCCCCACTGCTCTCGGCCTGCCCTGTTGCAGGAATGAGGGGCCCAAGGATGGGGAGAGCCCAGAGCTGCATCAGAGGCCAGCAGAAAGCAAGGCCTGGAAGCAGAGATGGATGGAGCTGGCCTGCTGCAGGCAGTGAGGGACATGGCCAGGGAAGTGGTCGGTAAAATGACAACGGTTCCTCTTCGTTTCCAGGTTTTATTTGCCTGTTATAATTCTGATATTTATATACATATATATATATACTTTTGTTTTTTGTAAAGGGCTCATTAACAGACCAAGCAAAGGCAGACAGGGAGACAGGGCGGCTGCCGGCAGGAGCACAGCAGAGGTGGGAGAACCCATCTTTCCTTTTTTTTTGTTTTTTGTTTTGTCTGTTTTTATTTTTCCTGGGATGGGATCATCAAAGCTAATTGCTATAAAACCTAGAAACCACCTAGAGACTCAGACATCTGCCTACACACTAGTGGCATATGGGAAAAGGGCAAGGGTAGGTACTTTCAAAGTCACGGTGTATTTACATTCCCAGGGTGGGTGGAGGGGAAGGCTGAGGGAGGGAAACTGTTCAGAGTGGGAGTGGCGGGGCTAAGGGGTCCTGGGGTGCCGTGGGGGCTGGGAGAGGCCCAGGGCAGCGGGGAGGAGGCATGCCTGCCCCGCACCCCGGCAGTGATGGAGGCCACTTGGATGTTGTCTGGTGGGTAACGAAGGCAGCGTGTGTGTGGAGCTCCTCAATGCCAGCCACAGGCTAGGGTGGGCGATGGGAGGCGGGCTGCTGACTGAGTAGGATACCAGCGTGTGGGGACTCTGGGCTCTCCAGATGGCCTCCTCTGCACCTGTGGCCAGCCTGCCCAGCTCCCATCCTGATTGGAGGCGAGATGGCAAAGGGAGCAGATGGTGGGGACACGGAGTTCTAGCCCCAGTCCCAGCCAGACTGGCCAAGGAGTGGCTGGGGGTGAAGGTGCCAACTCTGTTCTTGAGGAGATCCCCATCAGGCAGCATCTGAGAGACCCCTCTGGGGCCATCTCCACTCCCCCACCACAGCCCCTCTGCCCAGAAGCTGGCGAGGCAGCACCTGAAGGCTCCTGATGTGAGTGATTGGCCGGCCCCCCAAACTGGAGCAAAGCAGTGTGTGCCCAAGAAGGGGTGCAGGTGGGTTTTGGCAATGAAATGGGGACCGGGTAGTCAGAAGGAGATTAGGCAGTGAGCTTCTCTTCTCTGCTCCAGACTCAAGCCTTCCCACGGGCTCAGGGCCAGAGGGTGGGGTGCAGCCTGGTGGAGACAGGAAGGGGCCTCAGTCCCAAGGTCAGGGACCCAGAACAGACATCGGGCTCAGGGATCTTGGCCTCTGACTCCCCTGAGGCCGGGTCCTGGGCTGTGCCCTGCCTGCCTTGCCTGGCTGGACCCCACTACTCCAGGGTTCCTGCAGGGTTGATGGGGGAGGCCGGTCCTGAGCTGTCGTTGCCTCCTGCTGCCTCCTTCTCCTTCTTGCCACTGTACTGGCCAATGAAGGAGCCGTCCTCGTTGAACTGCACATCCACGCTGCCCCCATAGTCAGCCAGGCTATCGTCACTGCCCAGGGGCTTGATGTCTCCATTGAGAGATGGCTGGCTGCTGCCAAAGGCCTTTTCCTCGTTGTCACTGCAAGGGCAGAGGGCGGGAGGGAGGGAGAGGCTGCCCAGTGGAATCCAGCAAGAGCCAGCAGGTGCTGGACTGAGGGAGGAGGCCTGGCTGGGGGCATGGTGAGGTCCCAATGGCCCAGATTCTGCCTTCCTTTCCATTTGCTTTGAAAGCTCTGGGGAAGAGGTTTTCATCCTTGACACATATCCAGGAGGGCGGGTGGCATGCACACTACCAGAGGAGCAAAGCTTGGGCATATCCAGGATCCTGGTAGATGTGAGGGAGCAAGTGGGCGCTCAGGCTGGGGGGCTCATGGGGCTGTCAGCCCCTAGCAGAGCCCAGAGAAGGGATCTGGGAAGGTGACAGGAAGGCCTAGAAGCTGGGTGTCAGTGCAGAGGAGGAATTGAGGGTATTGGCTTGTCCCTGAAACAGGGAGCTGCCAGGCCAGATGGCTGGGGCAACGCTGAGCCCGGAAAGCGGAGGCCAATGGAACTCCCAAACATACACTGTCCACAGGAGGGTCCCTGCCATTGGGGTCTGACAGTAAGTATCTTCCCACTACTGCTGCCTTACCTCTCCAGGGACCTGATGTCACCCAGCAGCACAGAGAAGAGAGAGAGACAGGGTGAGATATGAAAGCGAGGGGAGTGCTGGGTGGTCAGCCGGCAATGACCCCCCTCCTCCTCCCCAGCTCACCTGTACTCGCCGAAGGTCTCATCCTTCATCGGCCGGGCCTCAGAGTCTACCTGGGTGTCCTCCTTATCCTTCACTGGAGACACACAGAGAGGGCCAGGCTTCTTCTCCCACCCCAGCCCGTCCCTGGATACTGGGCCCCAGCCCCAGGTGAGGGACATGGGCGAGGCTCTCACTCTGTGCTCTGAGCACCGCCAGCACTGTCTCGGCAGCTCTCAGAAGCCAGTGAGCTTTCAAGGGTGTATTACTCATCCCACGTGGGGCTGGGTGCCATTTGCTCTGGGTCCCTGCCCGCCCCCAACGTGCCTGGGGTCAGGATTACCCGAGTACTTGCCACCCTTGCTGCGCTTGATAAAGCAGAGGATGAGCAGGATGAGGAGTAAGAGAATGATGGCGCTGACGAAGCCGATGAACCAGCCCTCGGTGGCAAAGCCGGGAGAATGGAGTCTCACTCGGCCTGAGGGGGGAGAGCCCAGGCTGGGATGAGACAGCCCTCGGCCCCAGCTCATGCCTCCAGGTTCACAGCCTTGTGTGCGGGCCTCATTTGGAACCTGTGGTTTCTTCATCACTCACAACTCCTCTGTCCCCAGGGATTGGCCAGGCCCCATAGACACCAGAGGGCCCGGAGTTAGGGGTGTGATGACCTAGGGCTTAGGCGTGCCTGTAATCGACACTTGTGGGGGACTTTCTGGGGAGCAGGGAGCGTGGAGGGGGTTCTTCTGAGTAAATGACTGCATTGGAAGGTTAAAACAGAAGGATACTAAAATGGGCCATTTCAGGAGCCTGGACTTCTCTGTCATAGGCCGAGGGGCACCCCGATTCTGGGAGAAGGAGAGAGGAGCCTTGGCACGGGGCCTGGGGCGGTGGTGGCCATGCCAAGGACGGAGGGAAGCTAACTGGGCAGTGCCTCCAGCTCCCTGGGGCCTCACCGGTGCCGTTGGTCTTCACAGCCATCCGATGCAGGATCACCGTCTCCTTGACCAGGCTGATCTCGTAGTCAGTATCAGGCTGCAGATCCCACTGTGTGTAGGACGTCTGGTTGTAGCTGACACACCGTGGTGGGAGATGAGGACCGGTCTTCTCTTCTGCAGGAGTGAGAGGGCAGCAGGGGTGAGCGGGGGTGCCAGGCTCCACACCAACCCCAACCCTTCTAAGCCCAGAGCCCCCTCCCCACTAGAGGACCCATTTGTGCTCACCGCCCCGGGGTTTGAACCGGATCTGGAACTTGAAGTTGCACTGGCCCTCCTTGGGGACCCAGGAGACCACGCTGTAGTTCTCACCAGCCATGGCCGAGATGTTGCCAAAATCCAGGGTCCCTGGGGAGTGTGAGGAGAGTGTGGGACCTTGAGGCAGATTAAGGCCCACCCTGCTGGACCCAGCTGCCTGGCAGGGCCTGCTCAGCCCTTCCAGCTTACCAGATAAGGCCATGGTGCCTCCTTGCTGCACAATGGCATCACCAGGGCCTTCCTTCGTGGTGGCCTGCAGCCGGAAGCGGTACCGCAGGTGGGGGCTGAGGTTGGTCAGGTTATGCATCCGCAGCTCAGGATCCGAAAGGTTGAAGGACAACTGCTCCATGCCCCCATCATCCACTGCAAGGACAGATGGGGAGTCAGCTTTGGCAGCCAGCTCTGCCTGCCCCTCCCCCCAGCTCCCCTCCATCTCCCGGCCGGGCTGGACTGGGGCTCTGGACCCACAACACACATACGTGGGTAGTAGGAGAGCACATAGCCGGTGAGCACGCCGTTGTGGCTGAGTGGAGGCTGCCAATGCAGCAGCAGGCTGGTGTCAGACTGGCACTCCAGGTGCAATGCCTCAGGGCGGCTGGGCACTGCGGGGTACAGAGACGAGCAGCAGGTGTCCTCACCCAGGCTCGACCTGGGGCAGGGAGGAGGGGCTGGGATCGGGGCACGGGGTGCAAGTCTCACCTCCCTCTGGGGTGCTGAAGTTCCTACTCTTGCTGGCGGGCCCCAGACCCCGGCCGTTAAAGGCCTGTACCTCCAGACAGTAGAAGCTGTAGGGCTGCAAGCCTTCCAGGGTCACGCTGGTGGTGTTGGCGGGCACCACCACATGGTCTTTGTGGACATGCCTCTTGCTGTGCTTCCTCTGACTGCCCTCCCACCAGTACGTCACCTGAAGGTAGACAGGAGACCCCATAGGGGCAGAAGGTGTCCAGCAGTGACCCCTGGGCACATGCTCTCCACTGTCCTCAACAGGGACCCTGTCTTCCCAACCCCAAGACTTCCAGGAGAGCAGCTGGCCAGTGCAGAGGTCTGCGCCCAATCCTCTCACTCCTGGTGGCCTCACACTTTACCAAGAGGATCCTCCCAGCTCCCACACCTTGGACCCTTACATTGTATCCGCGGAGGTGGCCCTTGACCTGGGCTGGGTCCACAGGCAACCACTTGACCAGCACAGTGCTTGAGTTGAGGATCTTAATGTCTTCCAGCACAGGCCATGCCTGGGGATCTGGAGAGAGTCGGTGGCATGGACGAGGGCCTGTGGCACCCCGAGGCCAGCCTAGAACCCTCCCGCAGGGGAAAACATGGATTTGGATGCTCTGTGGGATTGGGCAATTTGAGGGGCAGGGCATTTGCATGGTCTCAGGGTCTGTCCCTACAGATTGTTTAGTTGCAAGCCAGAAAACAGTAACTCCAAGGACAAGTAACCAGAGAAGATCTTGACTGGGTGATCAAAATGAACATCTGGTAATGTTCCAGACTCAAGGAAAGGAAAGCAGCAAGACAACTCGACCTGATGCAGGATCTTAGACTGGGGGAAAAGACAGCACTGATTGATACAAGTGGAATATCAGCTGCCAACTAGAGATGATAAGCTTCTGGACTTTTATAACAGCACTTTGGTTATGTAAGATAATATCCTTACTCCTAAGAAATGTACTATTGAGAGGTAGGGGCTGGGTGCGCAGTGGGAAGAGAGTGGGCTGCGTGGGCGCTCGCGGGCTTCACATCCGCTACTCACAGTCTTCCCCAGAGTAGCCAATGGTGACCTGTGGCTCGGGGCCCTTGCCGTGGCTGTTGATGGTCTGGACCTTGATCTCATAGGGCACAAACGTGGATGTGTTGGACACCACCAAGAAGGGGTCGTTCACAATCTGTTCCTGCCAGGCTCCCCGTGTCCCCTGAGGGCGCCACTGCACACGGTACTGAATCTGAGGGGCATTCCAGTCCATCCACTCGAGTGGCTGGAGGGGGCAAACAGAAGAGGAGCTGGTTGGCAAGAGCACCCCCTTCCTGTGACCCTCCCCATTACAGAGCCTCACATCCCCAGTCATCCTCTGGTCCTTAGCACCTGGGTCCTGGTCTGACATCCAGGGGCGAGCTCAGCCCAGGCTCCCTCACCTTCCAAGTGATGACCATGTTGTTAGTCTCATTCCCTTCCCCCTTCACGTCCTTGGGGTTCCTCTCCGGGGCTGGAAAGCAATGAGTTGTTAACACATCAATACTGCAGGCTCCTGCTGAGGCAGTGAAGGCTGAGGACCAAGGAAGGAATGGCCCATGCTGGCCCTGGAAGCCAGGAGCCAACAGCCCTAAGCGAACCCTGCCCCCCAGCTCCCTCTGGAAACCTGAAAGCAGAGGAGCTTGGGCGCAGTCACCTCTGCATGCCCTCCTTGCAGAGCTTTGGGACCCTGGCGTCCGGGCACCGCCCCCCCGCCCCCGCAAGGTGGCTCACCTGCCTCAGGTGTGGCCACAGGCTCAGAGGCCGGGCTGGGCTCCCCAGAGCCATATTTGTTGATGGCAGTAACTCTAAAGGTATAGCGGACATAGGGCGACAGCTTGAGGGTGGTGGAGGTCTGGTTTCCGGGCACCTTTCCCAGACTGCGCCATATCTCAGGCTCCATCTCCTGGTCTTCAAATTCAATGTCATACTCTGCCAAGAAGTGAACCGGCAATGGAGTAATCAGTGTGTGTCATGGTGGAGGGGTAATAGGGGTCCAAGTCTGGCTCTCCCTGAGGAAAGGAGTGCCCAAGGCAACTGATATTCTTGGATTTGCATGAGGAACTGTGAGCCCCAGTGAGGTGGCAGTCATGGAGTCAGGGCCCCTGGGAGAAGGGAGGGCTAGCAGTGGGGGAGGTGGGTGGCGCCATGCTCAGGCCTCTTACTCTCAATGGGGGAGTTGTGGTCATCAGCGGGGCTCCAAGACAGGTGCACCTGGTTCTGCTTCAGCGGGTGATGATCAGACAGCTCCAGGTGAGGCACTGGCCCGGGGCTCCCTGAGGGTCATGGAGGGTGGGTTCTCTGGACCACTTGTGAGCCAGGCACCCTGCCGCCCTGCTCCCCAGCTTAAAAGGGCCCTGTAATGTTAGCCTGGGTTTCTGTGCCCTAAGGCCTGTGCCCCCCATGCCTCCAGGCCACGAGCCTGATACCACCCTAGAACTCACCCACCACAAGGAGCTTTGCCCTCCTTTCCACCACATCCAGCTTGGTGCTGGCCACACAGCTATAATTGCCCTGGTCACTGTAGTCCAGGCTGTGGATGACCAGGCGCTCGTCCTCTATGAAGTACCTGGCAGGAAATGGTGGGGGGATGCTTGTCCTTCTGCTCCTAGCAGACCCACCACTTTCTGCCATCTGCGCTCTGCTCCCCTCTCCTCCCTCTCCTGCCAGAACCTTCTCCCTCAAATCAGGGGCGCTCCCCCCATGGATGAGGCCAAGAGGTCTGGACATTCTGCTTTCCCCACTCTGCCCCATTCCACTGAGCCCACGTTGGGGCTGGGCCCGCACTTGTCACTGTCCCCAAGCTCCTGGAGGTTTCGACCATCCCTGCGCCAGGTGATGTTGTGCTGCAAGGAGGGGTCAAAGGAGGCCTGACACGTGAATGTCACTCTTGAGCCTTTCTTCTCAATTGCATCCTGGGGCTCCTGAATGATCTGAGTGGCATCTGAGGGCAATGAAGGGAAGGGGGGGTCACTCGGGTGTCCTCCAGAGACCCTGACCATCCCTCCAGCAAGTGCTGCTGACCACATGGGTGGGGGAGGGTTGCCTGACCTTTGACCTGCAGGTTTGCCACAATGGTTACATTGTTCTGGTCATTGGCAGCCTGGCAGAAATAGTGTCCAGTGTCGTTGGCCTGGAGGTCTCGGATGCCCAGGGTCCCGTTGGTATATGGAAAGAAGCGTTCGTCCTGTAGCACGGTCTTGCCTTCCTTGTCCAGCCTAGCACAAGCAGGGCAGGCCTGGCTCAGACCCCACCAGCACGCTCTGCTGCCCTCCTGGGCTCCCTGGGCCAGAAGATGACTTAAACCATGCCTGCCGGAGTGGGGGAACTCACCACTGGACGCTGGGCACCGGGGCTCCGAAGGCCTTGCACAGAAGGTAGGCAGTGCTGCCCTCAACTGCCAAGTAGGTCTCGTTGTCTGGGGTCAGGATCTTGGCCGGCAGCTCTGGAAGGAGGAGTCACAGGAGACAGAGTGGGGGTGGAGGGTTGGGGGCAGATTCAGGGCTCAGCAGGGGAGCCCTGCCCATTTGGCTTCCTAGTGTCCAGCTCCTGCCCCCACCAGCCTGAGCCTCTCTTTTACTTTGGACACACTGTCTCCTCTGCCTTGGCTGTGCCTCCCATCCCAGCCACCCATTTTACCAATTATTCAAGGCCCCACTGGCAGTCTACCCCTTTCTGAAAGCCTTCCTGGCCTAGCCCCATCTTCCCTGAGGCTCTAGGAGAGGACCCACCAGGCTGGCCTCAGGCACATCCTGGCCAGGGTAAGCCTCTGTGCCCCAGAGAATAGATAGGCAGCTGAAGTGGACAAATCAGCTGCTGGCTGAGTTGGCCTGGTGGACTGCAGTTACAGACTAGAGGTTATGAGGCACAGAGGGGAGGGCGGGCAGGCCCAGCTGGCTAGCACTCACGGACGACATAGATGTAGGCATTGGCCAGCAGGAACCCATGCCGGTTGCGGGCCTCACACTGGGTCACCATTGTGTCGCTGGGCTGCACATTGCTCAGGATCAGGGCTCCATGCTGGATCCGGTACTTCTGTTCCTTGGCTAGCTCTGTGCATGCAGCAGGTGGGTCAGAGGGCCAGGGCAGAGCAGTGAGCCACAGTGAGGTCCCTTCTCACCCTCCTCTTCCTCCCCTACTGTTCCCAGGGCTCTCCACACTCCCTGCCCGTGCCCGAGGCCCTCTCACCCTCCACGGGGATCCCGTTGATTCTCCAGGTGACCTCTGGTTGAGGCCTGCCCTGTGCTTGGCAGTCCAGGCGGGCAGTCTCCCCTGGCCCGTACAAATGGCTCCGGGGCTCGTGCAGCCAGTACGGGGCAGCTGTGAGGAAGGGGAGAGCCACTGTGAGCCCACAGCCTGCAGCCCCTGGCCCACTCCCACCCACTGTGACAGTGGGCATCACCGACTGTCGTGCCCAGAAGTCATTCTAGACAGCCTTGCAATGGGCAGGAGTGGTGCCCTGCAGAGGCACCATACCCTCCACAGTGACGTAGTACGTGTGCTGGTCAGTGCCCAGTAAGTTCTCAGCCACGCAGCGGTACTCGCCGTCGTCCTCCTCGCCCACATCCAGCAGGTGCAGGGTCTTGTTGTGGTTCTGGTAGGTGACACGGTTGGCTGGCATGGGGCCACTTAGGCGAAGCCACTTGATGGTGGGCGTGGGGCTGCCCGGGACCATGGTGCAGGGAGGCCAAGTAGGAGAGCAGAGGGAAGAGAGGACAGGGCTGCTGAGCCCCACTCCTTGGCAGAGGCCCTGCCCACCCCCGCCCAGGGTGCCTAGACTTACAAGCCCTCAGCGATGCACTCCAGGACCAAAGTCTTCCCCTGTAAGGCCACCAGGTGGCTGCTGGCGTTGGTGGGGAACAGCAGGCGCGGCTTCCTGTCGATCATGCTGTTGGCTATGAGGAGCAAGGGAATGGGTGATTCTGGACACTATGGTATCCAGATTCTAGACACTATGGTATCCAGAGTTTTCTCCTCTGCTAAAGAAAGGGCCCCATCTCTGCACTTGTCACCTAGGAAAGGGTCTGGGAAAGGTCGAGGTGGGAGCCTAGCTATTCTTAAAGTTTCTTTATTTTTTTTTTTTAGCTGAGCCATCCTGCTACCTGTTGGCAGCTCAGTGGTTGCTCAGCTCGGGCTGGACTCGAACCGCTGTTGCTCAGAGCTCACACTCTTGAGCGAGCTCTTAACCAACTGAGCCACTCGGCCGGCCCCGAGCCTAGCTATTCTTGAGGAAGACCAAGGTCCTCCGATCTGGGGGATTGGCCAGGCCTGAGGGTGAGAGAGGAGTGGGGGGGTGTCAGAGCCTTTGGGACTCACTGGCCTTAACCCGGAGGTCAATGGGTTCCTTCTGAATGATGGTCCGAGTGCCAAGGAAGTGGGCATGGCAGATGTAGTCTGAGTGGTTGTCCGAGGTGAGCACGTTGGCAAAGTAGAGGTTGCCATTCTGGCCCATTGTCACCCGCTCATCCTGTTTGATGTGCAAGATCTCTGCGGGCGTGGGGGGATAAGGAGGCACAGGTTAGGACCCCTCTTCCAGCAAGGCATTCCCACTGGCACCCCCACCCCAAGCAGCAGCCCTTCGTGGGCACCCACTGCTGTTCATCCAGTAGATCCGGAGCGGCTCTGCACTGGGTGGAGGGTGGCAAGGCAGAATCACTGACTCCCCTTCCTCTACTTCGACAGGTTTTACTGTCTCCTTTGGCCACTTGGGGGCACCTAGAAGGGACAGAGAGGTCAGCACGGTGGGTCCCAACCCTCCTCCTGATCAAGGCTGGGCAGGGCAAGGGAAATGAGGAGGGGTTTTTGAGGGCATGAGGGCCAGGCTGTAAGGAAGTTCATATAAAGGGAGGCAGAGACTTTGGGTCCTTTCTGGGCTCAGGGCTGAGACTGGCACTCCATACAGAGGAGACGATGGACAGGCCAGATGGCTGTGAAGGGTTAACCCTCCACAATTCTCAGCTCCCACCCCCAAGACAGGATGAGGATGGGTGGGGGGAGGCTGAGGTATAGCAGTGGGGGAGGGGAGCTGTGGAAGGATGCGGGAGTCACAGACCCTTCCATCATCCTGACACAGAAACCATGGCAACGGTTCCCAAGGTAACCAAAGGGGCAAAGAGGAGAGGAGCGTGCTTGGGAGGCAGAAAGCTCAGGGAGGATGGAATGCAGAGGGAAAACCCTAGGGAAAAGGCGACACAGATAAAGGCAGAGCCAGAGAGGCCAGGTCAGAGGTGGGGAGAAGGAGCAGGAGGGAGGGAAAAGGAGAAGCAGAGGGAAGGAGACAGAGAGGTGGGGGGCGCGAAGTAGAGAGAGATGACCTGAGAGTGGTGGAGAAGGAAACAGGATTGCAGAAATGGAAAGGGGACGGAAGCCCAGGCTCAAGCAATGACTCAGACAGAGACAGGACAAGCCAGAGGGAGCAACAACACAGAGAATCAACTCTCCACCTGCTCCGTCAGCCAACAAGTCTGAGCCTATGAGCTCCCACAAGGTCCCTGAGACCTGGCTGGGGACTCTCTCATGTGCCCCAAGCCCTTGCTAGTCCCTGCAGTGCCTCGCACCTTCAGCCATAAGCTGGATTTCATGGGACATGGCGGTACCCAGCTTATTGCTGGCAAAGCAGCGATATGTGCCCTGGAACCTCTGGGCAAAGTTGCTGTTGTTGCCGGCGATGGTGAAGGAGCCAGAGTGGGGAGCCTGATGCACGGTCACACCCAGTTCCTCTTTGGGTTTGAAGTGGACACCATCCCGAGTCCAACGGAACCTGTGGGCAGAAAAGGGCTCAGAGGATTGAGGCTCTGGAACCTGGGTCAGGGGCTGGAATAGAACGAGAGCAAGGCACTAGCAGCCAGGGGGTCCCCAGGATGGGCTGGGACAGGGCAAGGGTCAAGGGCCAAGGGTGATGAGGGAGATCTGAGGCATCTAGGCTCAGAAGCTGGGTGGCCTGGGGGGTGGGGCATGAGGATGATAGGCTGAGGTCAGCAGTCAAAAACAGAGCTTAGAGAGTGAGGGTCACTCACTGCACTTCGGGTTTGCCACTGGCTTCACACTTGAGGCTTATGTCATCTGTGGGGAAGACAACCAGGCGCGGTAGAGACTGTCCCGTGATGACAGGAGGCTCCATCACTGGGGATGACATGGGAGAGCCGTGGTGAGGACGACGTCTGGCTGGCATCATGGCCTCAACCCCCATCCCATCATGAGGGAAGCAGGATCTGGAGTCCCCAGAGGCCCCAGGGCCACGGGGGTGGGGGAAGAGGGAGAACAAGCAAGAGGGACCAACTAGCTTGGCCACAGCTGTACGGGACATGAAGAGGGAGAGAAAGGGACACCGAACAAACGTAGAAAGAGACAGAACAGAGGGAAGACAGCAACGAAAAGTTACAAAGAAAGACGCCTAAAAGAGAGGTGAAGCCAAAGAGGGAGGCAGAGTATGGAAGAAAAAAAAAAGAGACAACAAAAGCCAAGGACACAGGAACCAAGGACAAACCCCTCACAAGTGTGTGTGTGTGTGTGTGTGTGTGTGTGTGTGTGTGTGTATGACCGGAGAGGACAGAGCACCAGAAAGAAATGGCAAAAGTGAGTGCGAAAAGCCAGGCCGGGGCAAAGACAGAACAAAGATTGCCCCCACATAGGTGAGAGAGAGGGAGAGGGAGAGGGAGAGGCTGAGGTGGGCTTCCAGGCTGAGACAGTGGAACAAGGACCCAGGAGCCAGAAAAGACAGCAACCAGCACAGGGTACATGGCACACAGCAAGGAGGAGGCAGAGGGGGACATGCTGGCCTTCTGGAAAACACTCCCGCCCTCCCCCAACTTACCGTGGTGTCCTTCATCTGAGAAATCCAGGCAGCAAGGGAGAAAGTGGAGAGAAATTCTGACAAGCAGCCCCAGCAGGGTGCCCGATGGCATGGGAAAAAATAAGCATGTGCAGACCCCCTGGGGAAGGGGAGGGTGAGACAGGAATCTATGGCCATGTAACTTGGGGGCACATGCAGGGCTGGAGCTGTGGCAGGTCAAGACCTAGGACAGGACAGAGCCCGGATCACGGGTTCAGGGGTGGGGCAATGCCCAGGGGGAGCCAGGCCACAAAGCCAGAGGGCAGGGGGTGAGAAATTTGTGCCTTTAACAAGGCATGCCCTTTAGACAGACCTTGTATCTCCCTGGCAGGGCCTAGCTGGATCTGCAGAACTGACCCCCGCCCCACCCAAGATGCCTCAGAAGCCTGGGAGGTAGGCAGCCTGCAGCCAGGGCCCCCTCCCCTGCTCCAGCCCACTTCCCACCTAATCCAATTAGCACAGCTCAGTGTTTTCAATTACCCAGGCCCAGCCTTCAGAGCCCAGCTGCCCCCTCCCTGCAAAACCCTCCCAAAGGCCCTGCTGCATCTGAGTTTCCATCGCCTGAAGGGCCACGGATACAGCAGCCCCCTCGTTTTCTCCCCTTCCTCCCTCTCAGCCTGCTACCAAGCTCCCTGGGGCTGAGGCCACAGCCACTGGCCGGCTGCAGGACTCAGCCCAGCACAGGCCAGGGTGGCTGTGGAGGGGGGAGAAGGAGGGGAGGCAGGATGGGGAGGGGAGTAGTTGGCTGCTTCTGAAAGCTTTGTCTCTGCAGAAGACCTCAATGTAAGGGTTCTCAAGAGAGAGGAGGGGGCTCCCTGGGGACACTGCAGAGAGAGCCCTGAGCTGGGGGTGGTGGTGGAGGGGGGACCAGTGCACGAAGCCCAAGAGCAAGAGACAATGACAGGGGCTACAGGATGAGGAAAATCAACTGGGTGGAGAAAGAAAAAAAAAGAGACAAAGGGGACTGGAAAGTCTGGGGAGCGAGCAAGCTCGAGCTGGAAGCCACGTTGTATCGGAGTCAATACCAAGTGCTGCCCGTGGCCAGGGCAGCCTTGGAACTGCCATGGTCTTTGGCCTACTTTTCTTTCCTTGCTCTTGTCTTTCTCCAATTCTCCCTCCCTCTCCAGACAGACACACCCAGCCAGATGGCCCAGCCTGTGTGGTAGCAGGGCGAGCCGATACCCAGGGTAAGACCTAAAAAGCAACTGAGAGGACATGGAGAGGGAAGGAGGACAAGTATATAAATGTATATGTGAATGTGCAAAAGTGTGAGTCCGGGCACATGTGTGTGTGGATGCCCCAGGATGTAGTACTGCAGTATGTTTATGAATGTCCACCAGAGTATTTGTATAGGGGTGTGTCTTGCCAGAGTACATCTGAAAGCTATGTGTGTGTGCTTACATTTCGTGTACAGTTTTGTACTGTACACCTGCCTCTGTGTCTGTGTGGATGACCATTCCTTTGTACCTAAATCTCTCACTTTTGTGTATGTGTGTGTGTGTGTGTGTGTGTGTGCGCATGTCTGTGTGCCCCCTTTGTGTCCTCTCAGGGTTTCTGCCTCTTCTGTATCTTTGTGCCTGACTTGATACAGGTGGCTTGTCTGTCTACCCACATGTGTGTCCACGTGCATTTCTAGCTGGGGGAGTCTGTACAGGCATGACTGCATGGACCTCCGTGTGTGTATCTATGGGGGCATCCCCAACCTTTGTCCTATCAGCCCCTCTCTACCTCCTTCAAACCCTCGCTGCCCCCCAATGCCAGGTGCTTTCTAAGCTCATCTCCTTCGGTACCCGTCCCACCCCTGTCATGGACAGGCTTTCCTACTCCCAGCCCCTAGCTCTTCTCTCGGGGACACTGGCCTCCTCCCGGTCCAGGCTCAGAGATAAACGTGGCAAGGTAAGGCAGGAAGGGATTGGATGTACAGAAGAAGCATGCTCAAGATACACAAATTCTGCCCTGGGAGATGCCCCTCACAGAAGAACCCCCAGTCACTGACAGCAGTGTGTTTACATCTCCTGCTCACACCGAGGGGAAAACACTGTCACAGTAGCACCCCCCTCACACACATACAACCCACCATAATCAAACGTTAACAGTCAAATACCTACAGACCTTCCCAAACCTGACCAACAAGTAAGTAACAGTTCTGGTGACTCACAAACTTACCCATATAGGAAATTCGAATCACACTCAGGAATATCCACTTAGCCAATCATAACCACACATGTCCACACACACAAATATAGTCTGTCCAACTCACAAGCATACATAAATATTCATGTTCAGTCACAATCTTCTAGCTACACTCCCCAACACCCCCACACCTACCCATGACCCCCCACTCACAAAGCCCCCATAATGCTCCAGCAGCCCCATCCCCCAAATAACTACACATTAAATCGTAAGGATCCAGAAGGCTGCTGGGCCTTTTCAAGGTGTCTTTTCCTGTCTCAGTTCACAGGGCTTCAAGGGCTCAAGATGGGATTACCCAAGTCAGAAGTGGGAGCAAGACTTGAATCCAGGCCTTTGCACAAGCTAGTTGAGCACTGGGGACTGCCCTATTCTCTCGCCCGCCACACCCCTGAGGGAGGGGGCTGGGGGCAGACCAGGGATGAGCACCGAGGAGGCCCGAGGAGGCGGGTCCATCCAGCGCCAGGTCCGCTCTCCATGGTGCTGAAACCACCAGCCCATCCCTGTTCCCTGTCCGTGGTGCTGACGCACCCTGCGCCCTCCATCCTGCTCTCTCCAGAGGTACCCAACGTCCTGGATACCGCCTGCACACTCCGTGCCCAAGAATGGAGGGGTGAGGGTCCGGAACCGGGAGAAGGTGAGGAGGCAGAAGATAAAGGAGCCCAGCGCGGTGGTGAAGGGAGGCGCCGAGGCTCCCTCCAGCTACTCACATTCCTTGGGGATCTGGATGAGCAGGCAGGGGCTGCACAGGAGGAGAGGCCACAAGTACCGCAGTGCCACGGCCATCTTCCCGGCGGTGCCGGCGGCTCGGCACAGCCGGCCGGACTCGGCTCAGGCTCCGGCCCGGAGGGAAGGGGGCTGGTGGGCAGCTTGGGGCGGGAGCCGGGGGTGGGGGCACTGGGAGAGAGGAGGAGGGATGGGTGGGGGAGGAGAGAGGAGAGAGGAGAGAACGGACGGTTGTTAGTGACTAACATCTGGGTGAGCCCGGGCTACTGGCCCCGCCCCCAGCCCCGCCCTCAGCTGGCCGGCTCCCCCATCCTTCCTCCCACCTTGGAGGGAGAAACCTGGTCGAGTTTAAGCACTGGCTGGGCCTCCAGGTTGCTTTTCATTCCCTTCTTACTCTCTGTGCCTTCCCCCACCAGCTGCTTCTCCAGCGCCAACTTGTTGCCCCAATCAGCTCCCCTGGGCATGCCACAGGCCGCTCTGTGCATGTTGTCCCCATGTGTGACTCAATGTGCCAGCAAGCAGGTGCCTGTGGGCATGAGTGTGGATGTGGGTCTGCATGTAGCCAAATGTGCACATCAGTATTTATGTGGATGTGTGCAGGAGCACATTTGTATGTTTTCTCTGGGAAGGGGCTGCACTCAGGAGTGTGTGTGTGTGTCTTCTTGTGTGTCTGTATCTGTGGGGGATGAATCCTCATGTCTGCTACTTCTGTGTGCACACATAAGCATGGGTGCACACATATGTAGAGAAGAAATCTTCTTGCAGTCTCATTGCTATGGGTTTCGGAGCCAAATGATCCCTGGATGCTGTTCAGGCCTAAAACGCTGGCAGGGGGTGGGGGGCTTGGGAAGTGGAGGTAGGGAAAGAAGGAAAGGGGCCCAAGAAGGCTGCACTTCACAGAATAAGTTGAGGAACAGGAAGAAGGAAGGCTGAAGGAAGCCTGCCCTCAGGAAATGGCAGGAGGGAGAGTGGGAAGGAGGAAAGCACCTCTCTGCTGTCCCTCAGGTCCCCCGAGGGCAAGAGGCGACTGTGGCCTCCTTAATTCTAGATGCTCCAGGCCAGGGTCAGGGCAGGTGTCAGAGAAAGCTCTGGGACAGTGTCTCTGACACCTCTCCAGTGTCTGGCAAGCCCAGCTTCTGGGTCTTTCTCTGAGTCTTCAGGACTCAACTACTAGTTGTGTCCACCCTAAGCCCAAGTGTCACCAGCCACACCTACATTTCCACCTGCATGCAAGGAGCCCAGGAGACTGGGGGCCCAGGAAAGGGGGGCTTCTCTACCAATGTCTAGAAGAGAAAACAGGCTCCAAAGAAGATACAACTTTGGCTCCTGTTGCCTGAAGCCGATTTCTATTAACATGCCCCCCCCCCCCGCATTTAGCCTCTTTTCCCATTAGTAAGAGAGAAAAGCCCAGGTATGTCCGGAAGGCTGCATTCTCTCTGAGGGGGTGCCCCTGTATGACCGAGGCCGATAAGGCTCCCTCTGAGGAGTGTCTCAAGGTGTGACTGGGACCTGTTGAAATGCAAAGTTAATCTCCTCTTGGGAGGACACAGGAATCAGGTGTCCTAGGGGCTAGGCAGCGGATATGCGAAGGCATAGCATTTGCTGGAACATAATGGGATATGTTAAAGGAAAAAGGCTTTGAGGCCCAGACCCCAAACGGATGCTAATTTGATTGACAGCAGTAAAACAGTTTCACTTCTTTTCAATAAAAGCCATGCGCTGACCCGATTAGGGGCTTGCTCAGTTTCTCTGACTGAGTCCCTTGGTCTCGCTCTTAACCCTACTTTTGTCTCTGACTCTTTATTCAATCTACGCCGCCCCTCAAGAGAAACCCGTTTGCCCTTGCCACGCTGGACGTGACAGGCTCCAAACAGGAAAACGTGTGGAAAAGGCAAAGTGGTGAAAGTGCAGGAGGCGCAAGAGCAGGATGCTGGGGGGCTGAGATCTTGAAGGCTGGAACCTGGTCTGGATGCCCTCACCAAGTCCATACTGGGCACACTTTCTGTGCCAGCCAGGAACTTATTGAGGTAGGGGGAACCAAGCCTCAATCAGAATGCTGAAGGAGTGGGTGGGGAGGCCTGGAAAACGATGCTAAGGCATCTAGTCTGTCAGGAGGCAACCGGGAGCCACAAATTGGTTTTGTGTAAGGTAACCCGAGAAGCAAATGCAGCTGACTGTCAGGGGAATGGGCAGAGAAAGTAGATGATGGCAAATAGCAATCAGCTTGGAGCTCTCAGACTCCCCTACCCAATGCTGCAGGGTGGGGGGTGGGGGTGGAGAAGCACCAGGGTGGGTCACTATGGATGGGCTGAAAGCCAAGAGAATGACTTGGAGTATAGGAGTGGCAAACACATAACCAATTCTCAACTTGCAAGAGCTGAGCTGGGGCCCAGAAGGGAGGAACAACAGCGGACCTGTTCCACCCCCACCTTCCCTCACAAAGCCAGTGCAAGCAGGGTGGGCCCCAGGCAGCCTTGGCCTCAACTTCAAGGCCTGTAGGAAGCAGTAGGAGACTCAGATCAGAGGGCAGGCGATCAAACAACAGCCTTGGGAGCTCTGAGCATTCAGGTCTTAGGAGGGGGAGGGGCGAAAGAAGAGAGAAAAGATGCTCAAAGAAGGACCTTCCCGTACTCGAAGATGCCCAAGTGCTCTGTTTGCTGGAATGATGACCTCTGTCATGTCAACTCCTCCATTTGTCCTCCAAATCTAGGCTCCAAGAATGGGGTCTGGCATGTATACCCCGGTGTAGGGAAAATACGATACCCCCAACCCCCTGGTCTCCACTCTCTACCCCATCCCAATGACCCAGTCTCACATCCAACCTCTTTTGGTCTCCTGGTATTTGTCAACCAGCTCGCCACCTTTTTGGGGGCTCAGAGACAGGCAGGAGCCAGAAGGTTGAGAGGCCCCTGACAGCTGGGAGGAGGCTCTGCCTCCTCTCCTCCCAGTACTGCTGGGTCTCTGATCTCTCACCATTCCTCTGGCAATTACAGAGCAAGCAGCTCAGGTTGTCAGCTCAGCAGGCCCCCCACACCCCATCAGCACCTCCAGGGGCAAGGGAGGGGGGAGTACTCCACAAGCTGGTGTACAGATGGAGCCAAGGCCATGTCTGCGAAGGGGGGCAGGCTGGGGAAGACTGAAGGGTGACAGACAGGGCGAGAAAGAGGCAGGAGGGAGCAGGAGAGGCTGAGAAGTGGGGCTGGGGGAGGGAACTGAAAACAAAGACGGATGCCGGACCACTACGGGATGCCGGACCACCACTGTAACCAAGATGGAAAAATCCAGAAACAGAGAGAGACGCAGGTATCAGGGAAAGGAAGAGAGGGAAAAGGAGTACAAAAGGTGGGAGACAGCTGCAGAAAGCACTGATGAAAAGTGGGTGAGTGGAAGAGTGAGGGGTGTGCTTGTGTGTGTGTTGAGTGTGCACAGGCCTAGTGGTGCCTCCTCCATGTCCTGGTCCCTAGGGCATGCTCCAGGCAAGAAGCGAGGAAGGAGGAGGGGAGATGGGCCTGAGTCAAAGGAGGGGCCTTCTTGGGCTTGGAGGTCAGGCTGGACTGATGGGCAGACAGGGCAGAGAGACAAATGGAGAGCAGAGAATCCAGAAGCCAGCGCCACAGAGAGAAACAAAGCCTGCAAGTACAAAGACGACAATGACAGAGACAGAGTGGCAGGTTCCCGGCCACTTGTGGCATTGGAGCACGGGTGCGGTTGTAAAACAAGATGAATGAGCCACTGCTGGCTGGCCCTCAGGAAGCAGGTGGAGGCCCCCGCAGAGGGGGAGGAAGAAGCCCCCAGAGGACCACAGGGGATCCTTCCAAGATTGCTGCTAAGGTGGAGTGAACAGCTGTCTGGATGGGGGGAGATGCCCACGCGTCCACAGGCACAACAGTGAGTGTCTCCGTGCTCACCCACACGTGCATCCACCGCGCACACCCGCCACTGTGCTAGGAAAGAGCACAACAAAGGCAGGCTGCTCCTGAGTGGGTCCAGATGGGAACCCATCCTTCCCTGGGGTCTCACACACTACTCACAGGCTGGCAGAGAGAAAGGGCGTAGCAGGCACTGAGGTGGATGAGGTCGCAAGGTCAGGCCCACTGGAGGCTGCACGGAGGGGCCTAGTGGGACGGCAGAGGAGCCCCACCCCTGGCCACACCCTGACCCCACTGTCCCCCTGGGAACTCCTCTCCTTTGGCCTCTGTCCACTGACGGGGGGTGGGGGGGACACGGACTTGTGAGTCCCTGAAGGCAGGCTGAAACATAGGGTGGCTTGCTTTCCTCCCTGAAAACACACACACAAACACACTGGAAACCTTTAAAGGTGCCCACCTGCTCCCATGTTCTGCCTTGAGTCCTCTCTGCCCCTCCCATCTGATGGAAATGCACCTACCCAAGGGAGAAGTAACAGGAGGTCCTTCCAGCCATGTGTGTTGAGAATGGCAGTGCCCTGTGACCTAGCAAGCCCGAGTAGGGGCAAGGCTGGGGGCTCAACTCATGTGAGATGGTCAGAGCGTAAGCACCAGGTGTGCATACTTGTAGGTCTGGGAGGGGTGCGTGGTGGCACCCATGCCTGGGTTGTCCCCTCAGCAGGGCTGGTGGGGGCCTTGGAGCCTTTCGGTGTATATATGAGGGTGTGGGTGTCACCTACATCCCATGCACTGTGTTCCTTTAAGGCTCCTCTTACTCTCCCCCCAGGCTGTGGCTGGCGGGTTTCCATGGAGATGGAGCCCAGCTCCCTCCGCTGGCAGAGATGGGGGAAGCCTAGAGGAAAGCTAGCTGCAGTGTAATGGGTTATTTAGATAATACATAAAGGAGGCTGCTGGGTGGGAGCCCCCACAGGTATGAGAGGGCCTGGAAATCTTAAAGGACTGCTGTTTCATCCTCCATGTCCTCTGCCTTGCCCCTCCCTAAGCCCCCCACCCACCCAGAGCACACCATCAGCCTCCACAAGGCTGAGGTCTCCAAGGCAACTGACAGCTCACCTGTAAAGGACCATTCTTAAAGGATGAGGAAGGGGCTGGACAGAAGTTAACCCTTTGTGGGAGAGCAAGAACAGAGTCTCCACTGGGGAAGAAGGAAGAAGCTCACCATCATGGGCAGGGACAGTTTTTCTCCACCCCTGTGTTATAGTCAGCTGCCCCATTTTATTGACTAAATTCATGGATAGCACGTAC